GTAAGTATAAACTTTGCATATACCATATGAAGCATTTGTATTCTATATTTTATAACAGGAATGATTTCACAAAACTATAACTAAGCCCATAGCACATTTTCAGAATTATCCTTGTCATCAGAAAAGAACTATCACTAATTACCCAATTTTAAGTAATAAATATTATAGAAATAATATTCATTAATGTTGTTGCATATAAAATATTTTGCTATTATAAGTATAATATTAACAATTCTTCAATAGCTCAACAGGGTCATTGCTAATACTTTAAGCCTTTTAGAAGGAGAAAAAAATCATATGCAAAAAGATTAGACAATCTGCATATAAGTGGATTATTTTGTTTTCTAATTTTTACTTGTCATCGTAATATAAATTGGTATGCTTTATGTATAATTCAAATTGTCCTTTGGAATCTAAAAGTGTTCATATTTTGATAGATAATAAAGAAATGTAATTAAATACCTTATGCTCAGTTAGTATCAAAATGGCTGCCAAATTAAAAACATAATTTATGACCCTTTAACACACAGTCCAAAGTTTTCCCATTAAACTACAACATCTTCTCATAATAAAAATCTCTGTTATGACAGCCTACCATGAAAACCTCCATTGCTTAGCAAATATTAATTTTCTACATTGCAGTCTATAATTACCATCACTGGGCAATTACATGGTGCTTTGCTTGAGTAACATGTTGTCATCTAATTTTAAGGTGGATTATATTTCTCATAGAATTACAGGAATGTACACCTCTGTCTCCTGGCATTATTATCTATTAAGGAATAAAACTTTTGGGTTTAATTTTAAAATGTAAGGTATGACAGTGTCTTAGAAACACTAAAAGGACTGTGTATCATAGTTCCCTAAGATACCTCTAATATATGAATGTGAAACTGTGTTTCTTTAATTGTCTGTAACAACAATTAAAAGAAAAGGTACCATGAATTTGAGAGACAGCAGAGGTAGGGAGTACATGGGAAGGATGAAGGGAGATATGGAAAGAGGCAAAGTGGAATAACCATATTCTAATTTGAAGAAAATTAAAAATACATAAAATAACTCACTAGCAATAAAATAGACAACCTGACTTGCTCCTAGTGTAGTCTGATTGATTCCATTTACTCTAGAGTCAACAAAATTAATCAATGACGTGAAACAAGAAACAAAACACAGACACCAACAGAAAATGTGCTTCTGGTTCTAATTTGAGGTTAAAAGTCCACATTGTACCAAAAAGTCTGGACAAAGTGGTCTTTTCTGAGACTGATACTCCAACCAAGGAGCATGAATGGAGATAACCTAGAACCCCTGCACAAATGCAGTCCATGGCAGCCCAGTTTCCAGGTGGGTTCCCAACTAATGGGAACAGGGACTGTTTCTGACATGAACTCAGTGGCTGGCTCTTTGATCACCTCCCAGTGAAGGGGGAACAGCCTTACCAGGCCACAGAGGAAGACAATGCAGCCAGTCCTGATGAGACCTGATCTGTCAGAGGGAAGGGGTGGAGGACCTCCCCTACTTGGGGAGAGGCATGGGAGGAGATGAGGGTGGAATTGGAAGGGGATGAGGGAGGGGGCTATAGCCGGGATACAAAGTGAATGAACTGTAATCAATATAAAATAATTTTTTTAAAGTTCATATTGTGTGTGTGTGATTTAAATATGAATGGGAATAGAAACAATATGGAAATCATCTTTGCCTAAATGTGTTCAAATACTTTCCATTGTAAATGTTTTTTTAAACTATGCACTTCTATTTACTATTGAGAACTGCGTATAGAATGCTTGCCATACTGATTAAGTAGAATACATATTTCTAAAATTGCTGTTATACTAAGACATTTGTATAAAACATTTTAAACAGAATAATCTAATCTGACATCTTTCTATAATGTTGTAACAATAAAACCCTCATTAATATACAATGATAGTGGGAGGAGACAGGAAAGGAGAAGGAGGGAGGAGGAATGATAAAATCAATGTATAAAAGCAAATTAAATAATAAATATTAAAATAATTTGAACAAAGAAATGTGAAGGGAAGAGATTCATGCTGAAAACAAAACAAAAACAAACAATGATGCGGGAAAGAAATTAGAATCTGCATGGATGTAACTTTGGTTATAATATCTATAATTGTTATAATATTTATAACATCGTTATAATGTGCAATAATATTTTATTGTATATTAAATGACGTGTGCTTAGATATATTAGTATGCTTAATATATATGTCAGTAATAGCACTGAGAATGGGTTTAGACAATAAGAATTTTACTGTTTTGAAAGCTTCATTTTTTCATGAAGCTGTGATATATTAATTAACGGTGGGCTTGATGAGTTTAAACAAAGCAGTGTTCAATGGTAGCTAATAATGATAGTTCTAGATATTTTTGTCTAGTTGAAGAACTCACACTTCTCCTGTTCCTCCTGAAACATGAAATCCTTAGACCTTCACACCAATATTTCTGATCATGTGCCAAGATGTTCAGTCACACCACAAGGAGGTTCCTCAGCCCTACGCAGTCCTCAGAACCGTGTTATTCTCATCTACTGTGGGCACCATTCCTCCACAGAACTCTAGCCGTACTCTGTCTACCAGAGAAACTTGAGACTCAGGATATTTACCCTAATGGAAGGTCTTGATTATTCCCATAGGATTCATTACAGCAACTAGCCAATCTGCAGAGCCTGTACATATAAAGCTGGCTAGCTTTACAAGATTCTCTGGTAGAGATTTCTTTAATTTTTGTGTTTACCATAGCAAACCCCGTGTTTCGTAAGCTTGTGTGCCTATTCAAGATCCACACACCGACAGGAAGACATGCTGCAAGGAACAACAAGGAAAGGACTTTACACTCCAAGGAGTCCATGTTCAACTTCGCATAGGTCAGTAAAATGGGCAGAAGTGGCTAAGTTAAAGGGCTAGAACACCTCTGTAATTGCATCTAACAATCCTAAAACAAAGCCACCGTTCTCTGGCAAATCAAAGTGGAATCTGGACTAGCATAGAATATAGAGCAGCTTTTTAAAAACAGTTCAAAGAAGTGCAGACAGGCTTTGAACTTGCTGTGTAACCCAGGCCTTAGACTTAGAATCCTGAATATCTGTTTCATAAGTGCTGAGAAATGCTGGGTTTGCAGGCAAGAGCTAACATACCCAGCATGAAGAAGCATGGACTTCTCCCAGGCAGCATAGCCTCAAGTTCTGATAATTTGGGTTTTGGGATAGGGCCTGGCCCTGAAGCCCTGTCAGGTTTAGAACTGACTGTGTAGATTTCAAACTTTCACCAGCCCCTTGTTTCTGTGTTACAGTTATGAGGCACCAGCATTCCGGTGGGAATTTATTTAATTCAGGTTTTTGCCGTAGCGAGACCTGTGTTTTTATAAGTCTGTGTGCTGGTCACAGGATCCAATGTGCCAGTCTCACATGGAAAAATTATTAAAAGTTGATCATTACTCTTCATAATATACAGAGACACTGTATGTATGGTATTCATACACCTACTTTTTAGGACAATTCATGTTTTCACTATCTCTGAACTTATGGAACCTGAGGGCTCCTCGGAAATAGCTGTCTCATGTCAAGTATAAGTGTATCAACTACCCACTGTTGAAGTTTATTCTTACATATGTTCAGGGCTTCTTAAAATGGAATGCTCCTAAGAGATAATATTGTTATTGTTCTGATGAAGTTTGTGGAAAATGATAGTCATCATTTTTGCTTCGCGGTCATTCTATAAGCTATGCCTCTGGTTTCTGCTCATCTGTCAGTATTAGAACCTCACTGGGACTCCTATCAGATATCCCGTTGTTGGCTTGTGTCATGGAGATCCTGCAGTTTTGGATCTGTAGGACCAGCCCCTTCATGAACCCAGCTGTTCATTCAAGGGATAGGTGTTGGGATGGGCCAAGTCAAAGACCTGGATCTGGGCCTGACAGGTATCTGAGCTAGTCGGCCCGCTGGCTCTCTTGCTTTCATGCCATCGGGGCCTGCTCATCCACAACCCCCACAACCAGGGCCAGCTCTATCCTGCTGCCCAGGCCAGGTGCAGGGCCCACTCTCCCAAGTGTTGGAGCTGGTGAGGGACATAGCCGGTTTTCCCACTCTCGTGACCCTGGGGCCAGCTCTCCCACCTGCAGTATGTAGCGAGGGATTAGGAAGGACATGAAAGAGTCTCTCCCTAGCATGCCACCACCCAGCAGAGGAGAGGCAGAGCAGGCTCTCTGGCACTCATGACCTCTAGACCAGCTCACCTGCAACCCCTACAAGTCAGGGCCAGCTCTAGCGTGCTGCCCATGTGAGGTGCAGAGCCTGCTCTCCCTAGTGCTGTAGCAGGTGATGGGAAGGAACAGCTCTCCTGCTCTTATGACCCCCAGAGCCAGATCTCCTGCCTGCCATAGGCGGAAGGGAGAAAGTGGGAGAGGACATTTCTCCCTCGCTCATGCTGCCACATAGCATACCAGCTGAAGGGTCGGCTCTCCCACACTCACACCCTCAGGCTGGCTCACCCACAACTCCAGCAGTACCTGCTCTCCTGAGTACTGTGGCTGGCTATGAGCAGGGTCAGGTGTCCTGCTCTCTTGCTCCCAGACACAGCTCCCCCATGATGCCCAGTTAAAGAGCAGTACCAGTTCTGCACAGTCCTCAGATATGTCCCCGCGCTGAAGCCCAGATGAGGGATGTCAACCTGACCTTCAGTGGTAAAAGACTTCCCAGGGCTATGGATCCAGATGTGGCTCCCCAGATGTGCCAGCACAAACCAGGACACCACCATAGTCCCAGGGAGCATCACTAGCTACTCACATCAGGCTGTTCCTCACTACCCTCCAGTCTCCAGTTCTGCCTCTCTTCATTGTGCCCACATCCTTCTGTTTCTCTTTCTCTTCCATTTCTCCATCACTTACTGTTCCTCTTAGTGGTACCTGGAGTCTCTGAGTGTCTGGGACAGGCCTGCCTGTCACTGGACTGCTGGTCTTTCCAGGCTCACTTTTTTTCAGGGAGTGTTAGGCTACTAATCATTCAGATTTTCATAGGTCAGAACACCGAGCCTAGACATAGCATTTCTCTTCTGTGCCAGCTACTGACACACATGTGGCATGGCAACCACATGTGCAATGCCTGTAGGGGCAGGTCGTCTTTCCTTTTCTACTCTAGGTGGTGCATCAATTCAAATGCAGATAATTAGCAAGAAAATCAGCATCTCTCCTGTCCTAAAGCTGGGGAAATCTCCAAACACTTCTAGAAAGAACACTTAATCCATGATCTTTTCCAGTAACATCCACAAAAGGAAAGTCATAAAATGATTAAGCTTTCAATTTAAATGTGTGTATGTGTGTGTGTATCTTATTACAATCATATTAATTTCAGCAAACAATTAAAATCCAAGTTTAGGAATTTTTCTGGCTACTACAAAAGAGAAATTGCATATATATTTTGCTGGGCTTTGTCTTTATAGTGTTGAAGTATTGTGTATTATTTTTCTATCCAGAAATCTTGGTCAAGATTCTAGTGGCATGAACAGAGGGATAGGGTAAGCAGAACCCTGACAAAATAACTCCCGAACAAAGCCATCTTTTACTATGCATTGCACACATATGCAAACTAATCCTGGAGAAGGTAAAATTTTAAATTATAAAATAAAAACAAAACCTATAAATATTAACCCAAAAGACAAAAGTTACCTGGGACCAAGCCTCCTGTGGTTTTCTTTCCTTAAAACTTGAGCTTCTAAACTTATAAAAGATTCACTTCACTGTTGAAGAGTCAAAACCATTCTTCTGGGTTTCAGTAGAAGAAACAATTGCTTTTGGGTATGGCTTATACACACTGTATAAACTTTAGTATGGGTTTCAGTCAGTGAGCATCTGGCTGAGAAGAGGGGATATAATGCTCCAGCGTCTGTGAAAGATGCTCCATGGTGTAGCTACATCGTCCATTGGGTTGTAGAATTTTGATTCATTTATGATCCCTTCTGAAAGTCTCTCTGGCAAGAATTTTGTTAATCACAACAGACTGGGAAAAGTGGTCCTAGGAGATAAATCAAATGAAGCATACATAAAAAGCTAAAGATGAGAAGAATATTAAGGGAAGAACATAGTTATAATGATCATGGTGTAGATGTGTGTGGATAGTTTGTGTGTGGGGAAGCACAGGTGTGTGAGGATAGGTGTGTGTGTGTGTGTGTGTGTATACATGTATATAAGGGTAGGTGTGTGAGGGTATGTGTGTAAATGTAGGTATGGGGGTAGGTGTATGGGAGTTAGATTGTACAACAGTAGGTGAGTGTTTGGGTAGGTGTGTGTTTGGGTAGGTGTGTGTGGCTGTGGGTGAGTGTTTGGGTAGGTGTGTATATGACTATGTGTGTAGGTATGTGTATTGGTAGATGTATGTGGGAATAGGTGTGAGTCATGGGGTAGGTGTGTAAATGGGTAGGGTGTGTGTGGCTGATGGTTTAATGGTTTTTTAGGACAGCAGCATTTTTAGTGGTGGTTTGTTACTGGTTTTATTCTTATGAAACGGAATAATTTAATTTTAGATATCTCATTTCAGTGGCTTTACATTCTTTAGTTTTCCAGTACTCATTCTTAGAAAAAAAGTTAAGCAATGTGTCTCTTATCATGAGTTAGAGCAATTCTTCTTTGTTTTTGTTTTCACAGTTCTATTCAGAAATACATTTTGACTGAAACAGTTTCATTCTAAGGAACACAAAAGTCTTCTTTACTATTATGGATCTTTTCTAAATGAGGTTCATTATATTTTTGCTGCAGCATCTAAGAAAAAAAAATTACAAAGACACCTCAGCACAGCACAAGGCTTGTATCAAAAGCATTCAACTGCCTTCTCAGCTTGGTCTTCAAGGGAAGACAAGGAAACAAGACTTACTCTGAGATTTCCAGTGACTCACTTTGGCTATACCCAGATGATGGCATTTTAGCCATTAATCAATGCCATAATTATCAAGAATAAAAATGTATGCCAGTAATTAATTCTCTAAGGTAAGACCATGGAAGGATTGATGCTACATAACTTCTAGAATACAGAGAAGGAAAGGTCGCCAGATGATAAATGGGAGCAACCAGGATAACAGACCAGCAAATTGAACCCAACAGGGGAGATCAGCATTTGTCAGATAAACTAATAAAGCCTTGTAGCTTATTGATGGCCCTTCTCTGCTGGGCTGAAGGGGCTTTCAGAGAAGATAGGGAGATTGTGTGGAGCAGATGGAGCAGAGGAGGTTGCTGAGACATGTGGAGATCCAGGTAGCACAAAATAATGCTGTAAGTACAGAGTTGGGGAGATTCATCATGGTTAAATGTCATCTTTCTTTCAGAAATATTTACTGTTATTTAATTGTAAAGAAACTAAGAATGATTTTCCCTAAACTCTGAGTAATAAATTTTGATGGTCTTAATGTTCCCGGGTCTCTGGGAGATCATTTTAACTGAAATAGTCTCTCTTTTTTTTTCTTTTTTTTTAATTTATTTTTAAATAAATAACAGTTGATTCACTTTGTATCCCAGATGTGGTCCCCTCCCTCAACCCCTCCCAATCCCATCCTCCCTCATCTCCTCCCTGTCCCTCCCCAAGTCCATTGGTAGGGGAGGTCCTTCTCCCCTTCCCTCTGACCCTAGCCTATCATAAAATCATCTCTTAATGTACATTGGAAAGGAATACAACCTTTAACCATTATGTTTATGAACAAAATATAATGATATGAAAAGATAACTTACATAAAAAGAAATAATGCAGACAATTTAATGAAGTGAATTTAGTAAAAGTTTTGATAAAAACCTCTATCCTTCCACGTGCAGATATACAAACATATATGGACATTTATGCCTACAGAAACATACACCACACCTACCCTCCACATCTATACATAAAAACTTTATCTTTATGACTTTCTGGTACATATATGTACATACATGTATATATATTAGATAATATTCATATATATGTTCTTGGAATAAATATACCAAAATACCACAAAGGCTAAAAGGTTGTATGTGAAATGATATATTCATATTTCTATTTCTTAAAATTTCATCACAATGAGAATATCAGGTTGTTTGACTAAATCAGCTGACTTTTTACTTTGTTTTTCTTATGCTGACTCAGTTCAATTATTCATGCATGTCATTCTGTTCCCAAAAATACTCAGATAAATGTACTTTTCTCTGCCATCTAGATCTCCGTTTATTTATTTTATTTTTTTTACATCGTTTGAAATTATATGACTAGCTAATATCTAAGCTAAGTTCTCATTTAATGTCTGTATTACATCAGGTGGCAAATCTATAGAGACAAGAGAAATGTGCTTGTACTGTCTGGTACTGTTGTCTGCTCTCTCCAGATTGTGAAATCTCATCAGATCCATTCATGGTTTTTTAAATGGGAAAAAAAATTCTTTTCTAATCCTAGTTTGCATGTTACAGCCAGAAGCTACATAGAGGAAAAGGGAAAGAAAGCAGCTTTAGAGAAAGTTCTGTGTTGTTGTAAAGAGGTGAAATTTGACAATAGAGTGAAAGATAACTCATAAATTAAGTGCTTTGAGAAACAGTTCTTTGAGTCTACATTGGCTCAGAAGTCATTGAACCATATCTCTGTGTCATGAGTTTGAAACATGTAGTCTTTTTCTTATCTAAACTCCTCCTTAGATAAATACTCATACTTCTATGGATATGGATATAAAGTCTTGCAGTTTCTGTAGATCCACAGGAAAATTGAATTATTCGTAATTGTTCCTACTTGGTCTGTGAATTCATATGGAGTTCACAATCCATTAAATTAAAAGTCTTGCCAAACATGTTCCAAATACATACAAGAGCAAAAGTTTCATTTTGGTCTCAGAGAGAGCACATCACATACATAATCAGAGTTTGTCTTCCAAATACAGATATACAAACATACATGGACACTTACACCTACACGAACACACACCACACCTTACCTCCACATACACACATAAAAACTCTATAATTTTCCATTACATATAGACACATATACATGTATGTGTGTGTATTGTGGATGTATGCATGTATACACGGAATATGTATTTCACATGGAGACATATGTATACATACCATGTGATATCAGAAGAAAGCTATGCTAAGCTCAAGAAGTTGCCAAACTAAAGGGAAGTTGTGAATTTCATGTGAAGCTAAGTCAAGGCTGCATGTTTGTCCCACTGCGGCATCTGTATTTCTGGCAGCCACGGAGTCTGTGCTATATCCTGAGTGCTAGAGATAATAACACAACTGCGACTGATCGCTGAGTGTGCGCCAAGTGCTGAGGATGCTCCTAAGCGCTTTACACACAGGTGTTCTAAATCCTCTTGCTACCTCATTATTGGGATAATAAGCAATAGTGAGGAAGGCTCAGTAACTCACACCAAGTCATCCGGATGGAAGGTCTCAAAATCAGAGGGTCTGTCAGTACTTCAATGTTCTCTTTACAGAAAAGTGAGATGTGACAGAGAAACTGTGAGAGAGTAAAAGGCACCCCACATAGAAGTCTGCTGTCACCCTGTATATCAAGGAATAACTGAACACTGTTGGCCTGCTGCTCCACAGCCCTACATGTGCACATTCTGAAAACTTGCTGTTAAATTATGTTTTAGGGAAAAAACAGTCAATATGAACAATGTATATTTTCTCTTTTGGCTTCGTAGGTGATATGATGGTATGACAACTATTTTACATAGTTGTATGTTGAATTAGATAATTTATATACTAAAGGGCCCCAAAGGATTTACCCTCAAGGACACACTATTGAAAGGTGGTAATACATTTACCACTTAGGGTCTCTGAAGAGCAGAGATGGTAAACGCTTAAAGAATGTGAAGGCTATGTCCCTGAAGGCTTGAAATTAAAGAGAAAGTGGCTCTCCGCCTCCCGTTTTGCATATGGCCTTGAAGTATGCTCTTTACCATTGTAGCCTACTCACAATGCTTGGCTTCCTGTCCAAACATGTAAAGCAACAACAGAAGCCAAGCAGAGACCAGTTCTTCAAACTATGAGCCAAAACCAACTCCCTCCCCTTATCAATTGATTATTGCAGGTGATTGTTCCAATGTTGAAAAGGATAAATAATATGGAGATGAATTCGATACACAGGACAGTAGATGCAGGA